GCAACAAAACTAATATTTCTAAGTTTATGTCTTACCACCAAAAATTGGTTTGATGGACTGACACGCACTGTTAAAATATTTTGCAGAGAATCACTGATTTGCATTCAGCCAACGACTGCGCTGCAGCGCGTATGGCGAATCGAGGTCGCCAGATGTGTAGGGACGTGGCTTGTTTCAGCACAGTCGTCTGACTGCTGAGTTGAGCTGCAAAACCGTTTTGCATATTTCGCTCTTAATGACGGTTGCGTTGGGAAATCTCAACAGTATGTTATCTTTCAGTATGAGTTATCTTTCGTTTTTTTCATTGCAAGCGATCGGTGTGGAAATTCATCCTGTGCAAACGATTATATCTGATGGATAATGGCCTGGCATGCTATTCTTGAACAGGCTCTAACTATCCTAATTGTTTAAGCAGCTTATCGGCCGCAAAATCGGCTCTACAATGGCGAGCTTAACCGCAAACAATATTTTGCCAACACACAAATATCTGAAATGCCTTAGGCCTGGTTAGCTCAAGCTCCTCAGCCCACCCACCCTGTATTACCAAGAAAAATAATTTTTTTAGTTTTCGAAACTCAGTTTTACGTGCAAAGTAATTTGCGTTTTATAAAAAGACATTGTTTATTTTTTTACACGCAATTTTCAGCCAACAAGAAACTAATTCAACTTACGTATTTCTGAATTGAGTTTCTTGGAACGCATGCACCAGTACGAATCTCAAAAACTATTATACTTTTTTTAACGGAATCAAAAATGAATAAACGTTCAAAAACAACATATACTGTTTCGGCACAATTCCGTAACACGGCATAAAAATAACGATATCATAGCGGCATCGTAGCGGTGGCAAAAACTTATATGTGAGCAGCTCTGCTCATAACCCTTCCACAGTATATGCAACAGCTGCAAAAAGCGAGTAGACTACTTCTGTTGCAGTCTTATCCAACCGTGTCTTTTACAACAAGAAAAATTTACACGCTCGCTCGCTTGCACTAAGGGCGGTTACGACCTTTATACTAGTAATAAAAATTATAAAAGTGTTGAATTTTTTATTTATTTACCTGTATACTGTAGGTGTGCTACTTTTACGCATGGCTTTGCCGGGCTGCCAGCCAGTATCGAGTCGCCGCGCTGTTTTGCTTGGATTAATTGATTGTGGAGCCCATCCATAATTACTGTGAGTGCGTAAAAAATTTTCGCAGTGCATAGTGCTGCGAACTGCGTATATCAACATTCGTATAATTGTTGTTTTCACAACGACTCAACGAGCGACTGCAAACTGATTTTTTTGGGCTACATTCTACAACGCGAAAAGAGCTATATGGTATACCAAACCTCTTTATAAACACAGCCGTCGCGCGCCCCCCTGAGGCCCCCTTCCGGGAAAAAGGTGGTGAAATTCCCAAACAAAAATCAGAAAATTTCGAACTGGCGCAGCGGCGCCTTATTCTTGCTCAGGGAGAGCGATGGCGCGCCCTCCCTTCCGAAAAGCTTCCGACGGCCCTGCTTATAAGGAAAATTTCAATCTGTACGGCGGTACGCTACAAATTTTTATGCAACAACAACAAAGTTCATAAACTTCTAGAGCCTCCGAAGTTTCTAGAAATCTTCCGTGACCGTTTCGAGGTTATTTAATTTTTTTAGGCTTAAATATGTCCGCAGAATTTCCCGTACGAATTATTCCAGGTTCCTTGAATTTTGCCAGACGCTAATAAGACCGAAATTTTTATTAGTGCCTAGCTGGATAGGCTTGTTGTTATACTTTTATATTAATCAGCTATTGCCTGAAATCGTTTTGACAGTACTGGCCTACTGGGGTCCTAGTTAGTACCGTAGTTACCTACATGCCGTAGAATCCGATATTAACTGGGCCCTTTTTTGTGAGAGCTTCGGGATGGGGTGCATGAAGTGATGAAACCACAGGAAGCGTTGATTTCTGATGGCGGGGGGGGGGGGGGGCTTGTTTTTGGATTTGGCGGTACTTTACTTTCATAAAAAAGATTTCCAGCACTATAGGGAAATTCAGTATCGGGTAAATGCAAATTAACTTGACAAGAAGGGGTTAAGGGTGACTAATTTAATCATAATAATTACATGAAAGTCCTTCCCTTTCAAGCAGACTGCCGATCATTGGGTAATACTCGTGGCAACGCCAAAAACGGAAAAGCTAGCAAGTAGCAAATGTTTTACTTTATCGTATTATTAATATTCGTATATACTTATCGTTCTTTTTACATAATATGAGTAAACCAGTACGTAATTATAAGTTTGCAACAAGTAAATCTCGCTTAATTTATCCGTTTCGCCCACGGTTCCGAGTACAGATGCCGCGTTCCCCCTCGGAATTTCCAGGGATTGTCACGAGGAGGGTCTAACACCCCTTCGAAATAACAGATAAATCTGGAGGTAGGAGAAGACGGGTCTCCCACAAATGAAGAGTTCATTTGTGGGAGATTTGGTTCAGTGGCGAATTTAAGGGTCGGGGGGGGGGGGGGGGGGGGCATGGGGCACGGTGGCACGTACCTCCTCTCTGAGTTTTTGGAAAAGTGCGTATTGCAAAAAGTAAAAGGGGGAGTGGGGAGTATGGCTTAAAAAATTTTACCTGGTTTGGAAATGACAGCAGAAATTGCTATTTTTTATTGAATTTCTAGAAATTTATTAAGTCAAACCGTTTGTCAGGTTCGCGCTCCGCGCGAAAATGCCTCTTTGTTGCACTTTAACTAACGTAACTTCAAAGTTTTGGTGTGCAATGACTATAATCCACTTTATTTTATGAAGCCCGCATTTACCAAGGAATACTGTACTTCTTATTATTTTATTACCAAACCATGTTCCAAAACCAAAAGTAGCTTTATGAGAAACTCGTAATGCTTTACTATTTTTTATCGAATTTCTAGCAATTCCAAATATAAAAGCGTTCGCCAGCTTTGCGCGAAAGTTCACTGGTTTTCTTAATGAAAATGGCCCGGTACATAGCGTCGAAAATGGGATACATACACAGACACTAAAACTTCATAGCATTTTCCCGTGATTTTAAAATAAATTTTAACATTTTCGAAATTCATTTTAAAATCGGAAAAAAATGCTATAGATCTGATATTGGTTCACTTGGAACTTTATGGCCATATGTCTTTTATAGCAAAGTTTCAAGAAGTTCGGGTAATAACCAGACTTTACCAATGCATCTAAACTTTTTACCCATTTTAGTACGCCATATATCGGCAACCGTATGTTGCGCGCGCAAACGGTTTTCAGAACAATGTAGACTAATCATTTAGTTTTAGAATAACATAAAGTACTGCAAAAAATTTGTACGGAGTGCGCGAAAGGGAAAGTTTTAGTGCATTTATTCCGTTTTTGACACCATGTCCCTGGCCATTTCTCTCAACGCTGCACATGATATCGCATTGTTCTCTTGCCTTTTAACTTGGCCCAGACTCAAACTCTGACTCTGATTCTGACTACTAAAAGTCTGACTCTGACCGCTCAAAGTCTGACTCTGATTCTAAAGGTTTCTTAGGGTTTTTCTTAGGTTTCTTAGATTTCTTAAGTTTCTTAGGTTTTTTTGGGTTTCTTAGGTTTTTCTTAAGTTTCTTAGGTTTCTTAAATTTTTCTTAGGTTTTTCTTAGGTTTATTAGGTTTTTTAGGTTTCTTAGGGTTCATAGGTTTTTCTTTGGTTTGGACAGTCAGAGTCAGACTTTGAGTGGTCAGATTCAGAGTTTGAGCGGTCAGAGTCAGAGCTTGAGCGTGGGCCTTTTAAGGCCCCTGGGCCCCGTTGCTTAAAATTTTCAATTAGGTGCGATTCAAATATTACGTAACGCGATTTTTCATGATTTTTGACCACCCCCTACCCATTGTAACACCGCATAACAAAATTTTCAACCCCCTAACTGCATAAGTAACAGAAAGCCCGACCACCCCCCTATTAAAATAAAATTCACTTAAAATATTTTTTTTTGTTTTTTTATGGGGTGCCGGCCCGCACGTAACAAAAATTTTTGGATCTCCTACCCCATGTAACACGGCGTAACGAAAAGCCAGGGCCATCCCCCCACCCTTTTGCGTTACGTAATACTGATTAAGTTTTTATTTCACAAAATGCGGTAACATCACATTTTTAGAACAACAGATTAAAAAAACATAATTTCATTTATTGCTGCCGCTCCCTCCATTGTTCCGAGCACGGAAGCAGCGTTGCCTCGCTGAATTTCCAGCGACAATCGTTGACGGAGGTATTCATAGAGCGAGGCTCACCGTATGTTGTTGAGTCCTTCCCAATTTCTTTCACTAAACGGCTAGCTGACTTTCCCCATGGTCCAAAGAGTTTCAAATGCCAGCGGTACGAAGATGTATCTGCCCTGCAGGTACAAATACAATCCGCTTTTCTATCCTCCGCCTGAGCGGCGGCGGATCCCGCTGTAACTGAGTGGACTTCCGATAAGACACAGCGACAGTATCCACGCAGGTCGTCCATGCCAAACACATGCCGCGTTGCCACGCGAACGTGGTGCACCCGTCCGGTCGACGATCTGACGTATGAGATGTACCTCGCGGCTCCAGTTTTGCGGGGATACCGGCTGAAACTAACGCCCTGCACAAAATGCTGTTCAGGCCGCCGTGGCGTGGATGTCTTCCCGCAGAGAATGCACAGGACAGGCCGTGGTGATTATACAGATCTACGAGCTTGTGGCATTTGGAACATGAATGTGCTTCACAGATATCAACACCCAATCTCAGGCCGACCGATATCTTTACGGTGTCGTCGTCCAAGAGGTTACCGATGTGTGCCGAGGGCAAGGCATTCAACCATATGCCAGCTTCCGGTGTCGACTGTGCGAGGAGACGGGCCCGGTTAATCTCATCGTCGCGGAAAATGTCCAACAGTATGGATAGTGATGTGTTACACAGCGGAAGGTCAGCCAGGCGTATATTGTACGATCGCTATCACGATTCACATGAACGGCATACAGCACCTAACTGCGACACTGTGCGAAATTTCGGCAAGTGCAGGGTAACAGTACAGTACTTGTGCTGTTTTTTATGAAATTTCTAACAATTTCTGAAGTCAAAACGTTCGCCGGCTTGGCGCTTCGCGCGAAAATGTCCAGTTCATATAATTGTTGATTTGGCACCTTGCTGTACAAACAATTTTGGTTTAGTTTGGTATTTCAATTAAATTTTTAATGTTCTGTAGTACGCGTACTTATTTTACTGTCTTTGGGGTTCTTGGGTTCTCAGTGGCCCGTTCCGCCGCAAGTGAGTTACTTTCGCCTTTGATTTGGTTAAAATCATGAGCTAATCCAGTATTCGAAAAACAAAACAACTCTAACCATTTTGGGGCATTTCTGGCTCCAATAAACAAGTAGAAGTTATCAGATATTTCATGAGTCAGTTGCTACTTGCTAGCCACCCAGCGACTTTGCTTCAAAAATTGCTAGAAAATCCATAGAACATTGTTTACTTTCAGTACAAATAATATCCAAACTTTCTGCAGCGAAAGACATTAAGAAAAGTCAAAAAATTAAACGTCCTTGTAATTAATTTTTGTTTTCTAGGCATAGGTATCAGGATGGACTGTGCGCCGTTGGTGATGCCGCAGTTTGAGCCGCTGTTGGCGGATGCGAACCACATGAGCTATCAGAACACAGTGGCAGTCCACAACGATGACGACAGTTGGTGTTTGGGCTTCATTCAGGATATGGACGGCGACCGGGCTTTCATCCATTTTGACTCCAAAAAGGTCACCGCCCGTTGGGTGCACCTGGGGCGCGTCTGGGCGTTGCCATTCTATGCAAACACCTGCTCCCTTCAGGATCCACCTGATATGCCCATCTACGCGGCGCTGCGTGACGAAGATGATGGACCGTTTCGCTTCCGGCCGGTGATCGACCTGGGAAGACTGCGCGGATGCGACAAGTGTGAATTGTTCTGCATCCAAACAAACATTGCCGGCAGCAACAGCCAACAAAACCCCGCTGGTTGGGATATCGTTCAAAACTGCCAGATTACCAAACAGCTGCCGCCCGCTGGTGCCCCGTTACTGGATCGCTCGAGCAGCGGTCTGCGGTACACCAAGTACATGGTGCCGTTTCCCCCAGCCGAGGCCATTTTCAGTGACGCCTCGGACAAATTTCGCATCATTAAGCATTTTCGTAATGCCTTTGAACGGAACAGGGCGTTCCTGCCCATGTGGGACTGTTGTCGCTTTCACCTGCGAGCTGAACGCGATGGTTGCACGTTTGTCGTCATGAGTCCCGTCTTAGACGCGGAAATGGATCAACACATGGGGGTGGCGTTGACGCGAGTGTTGGAGACTCACCTAGACAGCCGGGTTCATTTGCCAGCAATTAGGCTGCGAAATACTCACGTAATTGAAAACTGCCTGCCGGAAACAGGTACTATTACACTGCATTTCGTTCTGGCCGTCACTTGGCAAGATCTCACGCCCGGCAGCGGACTGATGTCAGCCGTGGTACATACACTAATTATTACGGTATTCCTAAATCCCAGTCCCAATACTGTATGTTTGCCATTGGATTTTAAGTTTGGCCACGCCCACTCAACCATGGTTGATGGGAATATTTTATACCTAAGGATCACTCTGTCTTCTTGCAAAAATGAAATTTTTTGAAGGCGGGAGCCGGTAACATAGCCCTGGTGAAAAAACCTAATGTACTAGCGCATGTGCAGTACTGAAAATTTAACGATTTTAAATTACGTTTGACCACGCCTACTTTGATAACAGCAGCTGAAGATACCTTTTTAATGTCCTACGTGTGTTCACTACCTTTCTGCAAAAAATGAGATTTTTTTGAAGGGGAGGACCCCTATGTTCCCTGGACAGTAGCGGATATAAAAAATGCACAAACGTTTATAATTATAGTCTTGACTAAACGCCGCACACCGCGCTGCAGTACGCAATGCAAAAGATATCATTGCGCTACGCAGTATCTTCCACCGATTGTACTCATTGTAGGTATTTGCTAATCCTTGCAATACACTGCCATCAGATTTGTTTAGCAGATGCAGAATCCCCTTCGTTCTGCACGGTCGCTCGCCTGAGTCACCTGCCGCCGTCGATCCTCAGCGAGATCTTCCCCTACATGGACCTACATTCACAAATGCGGGCTAAACGGTAAGAAAAGTTATAGCACTGCAGCGACTGCACCGTCGGGTCGCTGGCAGGCGGCTGATTGTGGATGGATACGCTTATTTTCAAGATATGGCATGTCTTCTATGGCAGAGTGTGCGGGTTGTGGCAGTTGCTACTGGACAGTCCCCGTCTAGCCGAACACATCAGTGTCTCACTGGAGAGCTGCGCCGGAATTCAGTCCGATAACAACAACTGCTTCCGCATGGCATCGCTCTTGGCCCGCTCCATCCGTTCCACGACCGCCAGTATCACCGTGTTGGACGCTTTCCGTCCACACAACCAACTATTTCTTGCTGCCACGTTGGAAGCCATAAATATCACGCTGCCGTTAATTGTTTTCAAAGACCATATTATCACGGATCCCGGGAAGATGGGCTCCATAGAAGCAGCGGACTTGCAGCATCCTGCAGCTGATATTATGACACTATATAGGCACCATTGCAAGCTAATCCTCCTCCATAACTGGAAAATTGACCATCTGTTTGGCCAAACAATGTGCTTTGTGTTTAAACAGAAGATAATGTACCAGTTCGGCACCGGGCATCCCCTGCCAGCCCATGAGCAAGCATTCATGAGGCCCATAACTAAGCAATCTCATGAACTCCCCATCGACCACCTGCGCATCACCATTCCCCGTAAGCTGCTGCGCTGCGACGACGACGACATGGACATGACCAGCCGCATCATGTGCGCCTTAAATGACAACTTCCCGCCGGTCACGGAGGAAATGCTCGAAAGGGTAACGGCTGTGTACGCTCGCTGGCTGCGCACCCTAAATTATCCCGACGATTGGCAGCCCATTCGCAATTATCTCTTACTGTGAGTGCATTTTTGTAGTACACATCGCAAAGAGCAGCTCGTACTACTCAGCGGATACGCGAGAGTTCGTCGCGGGACATTTGGTTTTTACGGACATTTCGTCTAAGGACAACTCGTTTTTGTGACAAATAGTAATATGACTGTAATCGTTGCCATAAACCAGTCGATAATTTTTCGACTTTTCAAAAGTCGCGCGACCAAATGTCACACAGCAGAACGACTGCAAAACGAGTTGTCCCAAAACAAATTAGCCGCTGCGACGAAACGAAAAGCGTGTGGCGAAAATTAAATTTTCGCCACACGAAAATAAATTGCGCAATGTCCCACGACGAAATGGGCCCGCGCTCAAGCTCGGACTTGGACTCGGACTTGGACTACTAAAACTTGGACTTGGACTTCACTTGGACCCTAAAACTCGGACTTCGCTTGGACTCTAAAACTTGGACTTCACTTGGACTCTGAAACTCGGACTCTATGGCTTAGACTTGGATATAGTCCTTTCTCATGTCTTCTTACGTTTCTTCATGTTTTCTCAGGTTTCTTAGGTTTCTGAGGCTTCATCAGTTTTCTTAGGTTTCTTAGGTTTCTTAGGTTTCTGATTATGATATATGATGTATGTTACTACATACTCATAACGCAAAAACACCGATTCCTAATGAGACTTTACTTCCAAGATGTTTCTAACTCGAATGAATCGTCGTGGTTTTGCAAGAACACACAAGCTATGAAATATGCATAAGAAATCATCATTGCAAAGATATCAGTTCAAACGTGACATAAACAACAAACTGTTGCATAACCGGCTACATCACTCACAAGAGTGTCGGTAGCACTACAGGTGATTACTCATCACACAGCACCCCGTATCTTAAGAACTTTGGTCACCAGACAAAGTGACAACAACAGGAAACACAGACAGTGAATCAAAAATGAGCAAGTACAGTAAGCACAAATAAGCAAGCGGTAAAAGAATATTAAGGTGATGAACTGCGGATGGCACGGTTCCGGAGTGTCCGGATAACGGGTCGATGATCATCATCTTCCATTGGCGACGGGGGCTCGTGCGCAGGAGTGGATGGTACAACGACGTCGCGCTCAATATCGTCCTGAAGCTCCGGATCCACGGCTTCCATCGGGATGCTCCACTGCGAATCAGAATCGCTATTAAGGTCGACGTCAGTTAACGGTTGCGTGAATAGTTTCAAACGCTTTACGTGTACAGTCAATACACGTTTTCCGCGTTTGTTACGAATGGATTCAATTTCATAATTTAATTTTGACACGCGGTTTACAATTCGGTAAGGACCAAAATAATGTGCCACCAGCTTAGGAGACAAACCCACCGGAGTTACTGGTGTGTACAGCAAGACAAGGTCACCAATTTTGAATTCACGATCTTGGCGTTTCAAGTTGCCGGTCAACATGTAACCTGCCTGCACTTGATCGATGTTGGCCTTAGCCACATGGCTTGCCAGTTTAATCCGTTCAACCATGGTTTTACTGTACTCGTGCAAGTTGTTGATATTATTAGTAGGTAGTGCACCGAGCGTGGCATCAAGTACAGAGCGGCATTCGCGACCGTACAACAAGTAAAACGGCGTCTTGCCGGTCGAAGCTTGCGTACTCGTATTATACGCGCAAGTAACGTATGGGAGGTACACATCCCAATCTTTCTGGTTATCGCTTACGTACAAGCTGAGCATTACAGCTAGTATTTTATTGAACGCTTCTGTCAACCCGTTGCAAGCCGGGTTGTAGGCAGTAGTGTTTAGATGTCGTACCTGACACAATTCTGTGACACCTTTTACAACTGCTGACAAAAAAGGACCACCTTGATCAGATAACATTTTTGCCGGCGCACCATGTCGCAGAATAATTTGTAACACAAGGAAATTCGCAACTGCACCAGCAGTCTGTGCCGGAACTGCTTTTGTTTCAACATACTTGGTCAAGTAGTCTGTACACACAATTATGTACTTATTACCTTTTGATGTGACAGGCAACGGGCCAAAAACATCAATGCCTATCATCTCAAATGCTGTACCCACCGGGATACTTTCAATTAAACCACCCGGTTTTTCTTTATTCACTTTCCGAAACTGACAGTGTTCACAACCACGTACATACTTACGTACATGGTCACGCATGCGCGGCCAGTAGTACCGTGAGCGCAATCTGTTATATGTGCGCCAAAAGCCAAGATGACCGGACGTCATTTCATCGTGGCAAGCATGCAAAATTTGACGTCTCAGGTGTGTTGGTACAACCAACAACAACACTTCTTCTCCGTCTACGAGAGCGATTCGGTATAATACATTACCGCGAAGACAATAACGTACAGTATCTTTACCGACTGCACCAGCTGTCATCCGTGATACTATACGAGTAATTTTCTCATCTAGCCGCTGCTCTGCGCACATGTCAGCGGAAGCGGTCATGGCCACTAGCATATCGAAGTCAACATCAGCTGAGTCGGCGGCTTCAACAGGATGCCGCGACAACGCATCAGCATTCTGATGTTTTTTGCCACTACGATAGACTATAACAAAGTCGTATTCCTGCAGATATACTGCCCACCGGCTCAACCGGCCGGCCAGCACTCGTCGCGACATTAGCCAACATAAGGCGCAATGGTCGGTGACGACACGGAAACATTTACCATGCAAATACGGACGCAGTTTTTTAATACACCATACAACAGCAAGACACTCTTGCTCGGTCACTGAATAGCGCGATTCCGCTGCACTAAAGTTTTTGCTAACATAAGCCAAAACACGTTCACCGACGTCAGTTTTTGATATCAAGCACGCCCCTATGCCTAGAGCGCTCGCATCTGTGTGCAGTTCTAACTCAGCTGCCGGGTCGTAATGAGTCAGCACAGGAGAGCTTATCAATGCTGACTGCAACGCTGCGAAAGCTCGATATTGTTCATCCGACCAGATAAAAGGCTCACTTTTACGTGTAAGACGCACTAGCGGCTCAGCAATGGCAGCAAAATTACGCACAAAGCGACGGAAATAAGAACAAAGACCCAAGAAAGATTTAACATCAGTCACATTTTCTGGTACAGGGTAATTAACAATAGCCTGTAATTTGTCCGGGTCAGGGCTTATGCCGGTTTTGTCAACAATATGACCTAAGTACTTTGTATTATCGGATGCAAACTTACACTTTGACGGCTTGAGCACGACCCCGGCTTCTTCAAGCTTAGTTAACACCGCATCCAGGTGAGCCACATGCTCGTCGAATGACTTGGAGTAGATCAAGACGTCATCTATGTAAACAATTACAAATTGCCACCTGAATTCTTGTAAAATTCGGTCCATTGACCGCTGAAACGTAGCACCAGCATTGCACAAACCAAAGGGCATTCTGTTGAAATGGTACAAACCATCTGGTGTGATAAACGCAGTGCGATCTTTACTCGCGTCGGCGACGGGGATCTGCCAGTATCCCCACGCCATGTCTAAATTAGTGAAATACGCACACCCACCTAAACGATCTAACGCGTCGTCCAACCGTGGCATAGGATACACATCCTTCTTTGTGATCGCGTTGATGCGCCGATAATCAACACAGAAACGGGTGGAACCATCCTTCTTATACACCAGAACAACAGGGGACGCCCAAGGGCTACAGGATGGCGACACAATGCCTTGACGTAACATCTTATCAACTTCGCTGCGGATAACTATGCGTTCCGCCCAGGACCTGCGGTAAGGCGGTTGCGACAACGGCGCAGCACTACCAGTGTCTATGTGATGAGTGACACCGGTCACTTCACCAATTGGCCGTTCTGCCGTAGGAAATACTTTCCAGTGCTTACGCAAAACTGCACGAAGTTGCTCGGCTTGTCCCTGTGTCAATTGACTACTAATATTCAACTCAGGCAACGGATGGTCATCAACAGCACGATTGGTCACAAGACACACATCGGCTTCGTCGTCGATGGTAACCGGAGCGGCAGACGCAATTGTTTCGCTCAACGCCAACTTTTGCCGTGTTCGTGAGAAATTAGCACAACTTATGTAACAACAATTGTTTACAATTTTTATTAAGGAATGCGACGTTCGCAAACCTTTTTGTGCGAATAGTTTTGCATTCGGACTAGTTATGAAATCCATATTTTCTGAGGGAACACGACCTGGAAATGTATTATGCCTAAGTTTACATTTCACCCAGGCGACGTGACCAGCTGGTATGCTGACACATTCGCACACCACTAGATCCCGCGCCGGCCACGGTAGGAATTTCTCTCCGGTCGTGTCATTAAACCGACGCACACTGCGCGTTGCATAATCGATCACCAGATCGGTTTGCATTAGGAAGTCATTTCCGATAAGTAAATCACGATCGTAAGAGTCAAGTATCAACACTTTGATCCGTCTAGTGCAATTAGCAACTGAAATTTCAACTGAAGCGATACCAACCGGCTCCACTAATTTACCAGAAACTCCTTTAATTAGACGGCCTGTGTAGCGTTCTACTAACGCATTCACTGAGCGTGCACACAGCCAACTCATAATAGTGACTGCTGAACCTGAATCTACGATTGTGTCCACCTGGGTACCATTAACATATGCATTAGCTTTTACCGGTGAGGACGGTGAAAACTCATCACTCTCCTCGAAAACAGGATATACAGCAAATGGTGAAAGGTCACTTTTGTCGGGAGGTTCGTTACGAGTAGCTACGCCCCGAATATTAGCTACTCTCTGTAGTTTAAATTACGCTCACCCCGATCACCCCGGGCACCGCCATTTGCCTGCACGTCCCGCATTGCACGCCGCTTGTCGAAGCAACGGAACTCCAGATGTCCTTCACGTTTGCAGAAGGTGCAAAACCGTTTACCTTCTTCAGTGGTTTCCGCCGGGATGTCTCGCGACGCGGTTGGCATCGGTCCACCGGGTCCATGATGAGGTAGTCTGCCTCGTCCTCCACGGCCACGCCCTCGTCCACGGTATCCATTGAATCGACCACGTGGTCCACCTCCGCGAACGTACGTTTGAGTGAGCACCGGTGCTGCATTGTTCTCCCGCGCGACTTCCATGGCCTTTTCGACTGCAGCGCGGACAGCGTTATCCAGTTCAGACTGAGAATACGTCTTTGAACAAGGCGGTGACACACCGGTATCCGGTTGCTCACCGGCAGGGATGACCTCATCACTCTTGCGTTTAGGCAACGCGCCAGCTGCCGACATCACAGCTAAAACATTATGCGAATCAACATCAGAACTACTCGCATCCAATTTAAGGATTTTCAGTTTCGCCAAAACATCTTCCGGAGTTTGTGGATCAAGCAGTGCAACGTGGTTACGCAGCTGCATACTCAAACCATTGAGCAAGTAGCGTACTTTGAGGTCATTAGCCATAGCGGCATCAACTTTACGGCACAAGTCAATAATGGCGTAATAGTACTCAACAAGAGTTTCACTATCTTGCTTGAACTTCCTTTTCTGTAATTTACTTTGAACTTCCCATTTTTCGTCCTGACTGACAAATTCCGCTAAAAAGCCTTGTTTCAACAATGCCCAGGTAGCAAACGGCTGCTTGAGTGAATACCTTTGCTTGGCTGCACCGGCAGACAAGTAAAATGAGAAACGATCTTTTTTTATATCGTCTTTCCAGTTAGACAGCGTGGCCGCTTCCTCGAACTCCTTCATCCAGTCACGAGCGTCATGCTCAAAAGGTTTAAACTTGTCCATGCACTGCAATGGACCGCTTGACGGAGCATCGAAGACAACATTTGTCAGACGCTGAAACCCGTCGGTCATTGCTTTAATCGTTGCTTCACTCATAATGCCGGTTTCAGCAATTACAGTATCAGTTAAATCAACTATGTCCGGTACAACCGGGCGAACATGTACTGTATCTGTACTTTCCGAATGACTACGCGAAGAACTACGCGAATCGGTATCAGGTTTTTCAGTTCGAGGTTTACGCTGATATTCTGAACCTTGCAGTCCTTCTGAAAACTGAGATTTACCGTCAGAACGCAGGTGTGGGCCACTTACACCTGAAAGGTCACCTTCAACTGACTGTGTGCTAGAACTACTAGCGGCTTTTGTGGTAGCGACAGTAGCGGTTTTTGTTTTGTCGGCAACCTTGCCGGCTTTCTCAGACTTATCGAAACTGCTCGACATGCAATATAAACAAAAGATAAGATTAACCGAGAATTTGACTGCAGATGTAGCTGCTCTTTGCCTGGTACAACATGTATCCGAGAACACCGTTAGCGACAACGCTAGAAACGGTTACAGCCAGCAAGACTTTAGTGGTAAAAGAGCAACAAGAAAAAATTTTACCGACCGCGGCAGTCAAACAAGAACAAATAGAAGGCATTTTAGCAGTTCTGCTGACCTTTCAACTGCTGCTCCAACAACTGCAGACGGCGATCAGTGTCGAGTTGAAGAGTGGTAATGCGATCGTTAGCATCCAACATGGCATAATCCGATTCGGGCAAAGTCAACTGAACTGTCACAATGAAATAGGAAAGGCAACCATCCACCCAGGAGCGCCATGATATATGATGTATGTTACTACATACTCATAACGCAAAAACACCGATTCCTAATGAGACTTTACTTCCAAGATGTTTCTAACTCGAATGAATCGTCGTGGTTTTGCAAGAACACACAAGCTATGAAATATGCATAAGAAATCATCATTGCAAAGATATCAGTTCAAACGTGACATAAACAACAAACTGTTGCATAACCGGCTACATCACTCACAAGAGTGTCGGTAGCACTACAGGTGATTACTCATCACACAGCAAGGTTACTAACATTTCTTAGGTTATCTAGGTATTTTTTGGTATTCTGAAAAACCTAAGACACCTAAGAAACCTAAGAAACCTAAGAAACCTATGAAACCTATGAAACCAAAGAAACCTAAGAAACCTAAGAAACCTAAGAACACCAAAGAAACCTAAGAACACTGTAACCTAAGAAACATAAGAAACATAAGAAACCTAAGAAAACATGAAGAAACGTAAGAAGACAAAAGAAACATAAGAAACGCCTAATTCCAAGTCCAAGTCATAAAGTCCAAGTTTTAGAGTCCAAGTGAAGTCCGAGTTTTAGAGTCCAAGTGAAGTCCAAGTTTTAGAGTCCAAGTGAAGTCCAAGTCCAAGTTTTAGTATTCCAAGTCCGAGTCCAAGTCCGAGTTTGAGCATGGGCTGACGAAAGGTCCCGCGACCACTTGGGCTGTCACGTACTCGGCTACTCGAGCAGGAAAGAGCTACGTATGAATTTATTTGCGTTTGCTGCTATTTTGTACAAGCTTGGGGCAGTGTTGGTCCGTTTTTTTACGGGCGAACATTCTGTGCATAATATACGATGGCAACAGGCAAACGAAAATACGTCTGCGAGATGTTTCAGTGGACACTAGACACCATCCCTTTTTTCCACTAGCGCTTTGTTTTGGCGAAAAAAACGATTTTGTTTGCGAAGCACTTTCTTGGGGGTCCCCAAACTGACCTTAATTTCAAGAAACCTAAAGCCTTTCCTGAATTTCTGGCTGAATTAAATTATGTTTCAGCACTGCTATGACTTATTCCATCGGAGCCTTCGCTTAGGAAGGAGTTTCTCGCGGCACCGCTACCACAAATCGATTACGTTTTTGCTCAATAAATGTGCAAAAGAAACTACACTGAAAACTTTAAATAGACTGGCAAAACATGTGCCACACGATTGGGCGTAGATATATACTGGCTCTGGTTTCCGGTTGGTTTATAAATCCTAGATATATCGCGTGGGTTGCCTGTGACTATAGTATTGTCCGCAGGTTCAGCCCGTTCGAGCCCGACGGCCAGCCAAAATCGTGGGAGGGGGTCGATTTGCGGGCGGTGGATGTCACTACGCTAAGCAGAATGGCTATCTACGGAATCGACGCACTATTTCAAGTGTGACCATTTCGGTCCTTCAGTCACTCCCTCTGCACCGCGGCCAGCTCTCGCCTTAAACGAAATCATAAATACTTACATCAAGATCACAGTGGAGAAATCAACATCACGATTGGAGGCTTAACGACCGATAACCGACATTCTAATCTTCATGTAGGAGTCTGGCTCTGCTGTTCTGTTTTTTTTTCGCTGGCTTCTTTTGGTCTAGTTTCTCCGCTTCTGTTTGTTTTTCATACTTGCACGGTTCCAACGAAAAAAGGGTGCTACAATCATATTGCGGTGAAACGCTCAGATTAGTAGTAAACGTAGTAGTTGCGAGCAAAGGTGACATCCTGCAGCCAGCTGCCTCATCAATTTTCCAGCAGGCCCTCAGTATTGGAAGCATGGAGCGGCTCGTAGCCGAGCCGGAAGTGGCGTTCGTCCGCGTTTGTCGATCGATCTCGTAGTGTTTGAAACTTTCCGAGCGGTTCCATGATGCGTCACGTGTCAACGTCGCGTTGTTACACTTTAACATGCACTAGATTCTTATTTACAGTAAATCAATTTATACTCGCCAACTCGAAAATGTATTGTCTTTTCCCAAAAGGAGATATAGGGGGTAAAACTAGGCATCTTCCACCGTTCCCTTGTACTGCTGCCGTCACCCGAATGGAGTTTGACGCTGTGGCTAAACATGGCGCTAAATTTTTTGCTGATATGAGAGGCGGGGTTAGTACGGGATTCGAGATACGGTTTGCCGAATACCGTATCAGAGAGTTATGAATACGGGACGCATTCGGATACACAGCATACCCCCGTCCCGAATCTTTTCAAGGTAACGAGGTACGCGAACCGAGAAACAACATACCGAACCGCGTATCTCCTATTCTGAGACGGTGGTGCCCTGTACGTATAAGGATAATTACCCAGTACATGGTGTCAGAAATGGTATACAATAGTAAAATTCTCGCTTTCGCGTACTCTGAATCACTTTTTTGTAATACTTTATATTATTCTAAAGCTGAATAATTTAAATACATGGATTCTGAAAACCGTCTGCGCGCTAAAATTCGGTTGCCGAGACACGGCGAACTAAAATGGGCGAAAAGTTTAAACGCATTGTTGTGGACCAAAAGTCTGGTTATGTAATACCCGATCTTCTTGAAACTTTGCTGTAAAAGATATCTGTACATTGCCATGAAGTCAAAAATGAACCAATATCAGACCCATAGCATTTTCGCCGAATTTAGAAAAAGATTTAAAAGTTCGATTTAGTAAACATGCGATCCTCAAGGATATTCACAACTCAGTGCGAAAGCCAGTTTTCCCTGCTTTATTCATGTACGCACTCCTCCAGTAAGATAACCCAGTAAGAAATGACCGATAGAAGAACTCCCAGAAGCAGACTAAAACGTCTAGAAAAAACCTTAAAAATATAAGACACCTGGTAAACCTAAGAACTGCTTAGGCGCTGTCATATGCGAAACTCATTCCTGGGCGAAGTGTCAGAAGCCCGTAGATGTATGTGGCCTGCTGGCCACCACGGACTGTCATGCCCCTTTTCCGCTGGATGACATCCTCGGCACGGTGGGCTGAACAGCATTGTGTGCCGCTCGTTAGTTTCAGCGGGCATCCCAGCAAAACTGGAACCGCGCGGTACGTCTCATACGTCCGGCCGCCGTCCGGACGTTTGCCTGGAAACGTGGCATGTGCTTGGCCTGGGACGTGACCTGTGTGGATACTGTCGCCTCGTCCCATATCAAGTCTTCTTAGGTTTCTGCTGGATCCGCAGCAGCACAGGCGGAAGACAAAAAAAACCAAGTTATACGCGTACCTGGAAGGCCGATACATCTTTGCGTCCCTCGCATTCGAAACTCTCGGACCTTTGGGAAAGTCGGCATCCATTTTGATAAAGGAAATCGGCAAACGATTACAGCAGCATACTGGTGAGCTGCGCTCACTCGAATTCCTTCGTCAGCGTTTGTCGATTGAAATCCAAAAAGGGAACGCAGTTTCGATACTTGGAACCATGGATGGAGCCGAGAAATTAAAGGAAATATTTTTTTTGTAATCATACCTATTCTGTTTGTGAACTGTGATAGTGTTTAACCCGTTCCACACCATGCGTGTGGAAATATTGTCATTAATATTGTCATACACTTATAATAGAAATTGAATGGCTTGTTTTCCCATCGCTGTTGTGCTTGCCCAAACAGCGTTTAGACTTTACTGTCTTTACAGTATTTCGGGCTCGATATGCACCTTTTGGCAAACGATTAGTACAGCAACACGACAATAAGAAATTAAGAACTGCTTAGCTAAGTATGCTATCGGTCGAGGAAATGATCTCCGCAAAACGTTAGTCACTGCATCAGCTGACGAGTTACTTTTGCTAAACAAAATTAATCAATCCCGGTACTTACCCGAAGAAACCAGCAAACCAGCTTTTTAACTAAACAAGCGCCATGTTGCGCAAAATAACATGACGTTTGCTTGGTTAAAAGCCGTTTTTTTTGGAATAGGAAGACATATCGAATCTATAGAATTTCTGAGGAAGACAGGTGTGAAAATTTCGAATTTATTGATCGAAGATCAAAGGAAAATCCGATTAGGTAAAATGAAACGCTGACGGTGTGTCTAACTCGGTGGAAATCCATAAACGAGGCTCCAGAAAATTCTCCCCTCGTCGCACTGTCAAACGAGCGACGCAAATCGATGAAATCCTGCTGTAGTTTCCAACATACACATGACTTTATTTCCAACATACACAGTTATACCTGCGGATGTTGGCTCTCTTTCTGGCTTTACAGTGAAACCTCATCTTGCGTACACCCCGAAGAAACGTACACCCCTCTATTACGTACGAAAAATTCTGTGCCGAATTACGTCGTAGACTAAAGTACTACAGGGAGGAACCTCTACGTAACGTACACCTCAGCGGTGCGTACATGTACACTTAATCTTTGTACCGCATAAGCATTTAACTGTACGCAATCACCTCGTGAATGCGTACACCGTTGTTTCGGAACTGGAGATTTTATACTTTTGGATGGTAAAGTTGTTGAAAATCCAAAGAAAGAAAGAAAACTATACTCGAAATTGCTAGATTTTTGTATCCTGAGTAAGGATTTAATAATCTCTTTTGCTGAAAGTGTGCGAAAGAATTGTTTTCGTCTGTTTACATACACAGATAAAGATTGATGTAGTTTTGTATGGTAACTAATGGGATCTGTGTATTTTATGTATTACACAGTATGTGCAGACCATTTCTTAATGGGGCTGTGCCCCAAGCCTACAGTCACCCCCCAGGGGGGCTGGGGGCAGCTAATTTGAATTCCGTACACCCCTGAATTACGTACGAAATTTTCCGTACGGAGGTGTACGCATTTCAGAGGTTTCACTGTATCGATGATTTTCAGCCGATTTACCTGCAGGTAAACGGGGAAGCCGCATTCTGCACGGAGTACCGATATTATGTGGCACTCCGTGCAGCACGGCGAAAACTGCACAGTACGGTGCTTGGTGCATAATATGACGTTTCTGACACAGGTCAGCACAAAACTACTTCGATTTTTCTCACATTTCGGTCACGTTAAGTACATGTATATGGTTTTTATGTTGGAGTAGATCAAACAAGAAGTTGTGTATTTTGTACATATCTTTCACTTTTATAGGGAACTTATATGACTGTATCGTACCGCCAATCTGAATAAATATTAAAGATTATATCGGTACGAGTATCTTTTTATATGCGTAGTAATACTGTACTTGTCCCTAATGCAACTATAAGCTTCACGAAACAAGCGCACTTCTCTGTATACACAGTCCCACTGATGTTACTGGATTTACAATTTAACAAACATTATAAGAATAAATAAGTAAAAATACAGTAGTATTATTATTAGAAGTGCAGCTGATACTCGGACTCGTCGTGCGCGTATTACTTAGTACACCGACGTACCGCTCATGGCTTGTACACAATGGTGAAAGCGGATTCGGGGCGCGAACGATCTGCATGGTAACGTTACTTTTCATGCAGTATTTGAAGAGGATCGGTTTATAATGAGACTTTTGGTACAGAAAATGCGTTTAAACTTTTGGGAATTTTTGTACAGCCATAACCTTCATACCCGAAATTGCATGCAAAAACGGTTTTCAAACCAATGTAAACGAATCATCTGGCTAAAGAATGTCATGAACAAAGCAAAAAATTGTTTGGATAAATTGGAAGTGCACGAAAGTGACAGTTTCCAAACAGTTCATTTACCATATACTACTATAGGTCATGTACAGTTTATTGCACCCACTGCTGTTAGTTGGTCTACTAACGTTTGGACCTACTCGACCAACCCGGAAGTGATTTTTGATCCCTTATGCAGTATGCACTGCATCGCTGTTTCCATTTTAAATAGGTACGTATTGATTTTCATCCTAGCCTGAGTGAGCTGAGTCTTTACCACGCAACGTGGATAGTATGGTGAATAACGCGAAGCACGCTGACAAGCAACTGCTGTTGTGGAGGCCTACTGATGTTGTAAATAAGGAATGGATGCTGGGATTACCTCTCTAAACCCCAAACGTGGTCGTCTATGATTATGTCAACATGGCTGCTTTGTTTTAAACCGGAGTTACTTAAAACACTCGTAATTATGAGTTCAGATATGTAAAAAATCACTGCACACGTGGAAGTAATTATTCCTTCACGTTGGAGCACCTTCACTCAAGCGATGGATGCTTTTGTTAAAGACCTTGACCGTGAAGCGATTCAGCAGTTAATTTGTACGCTGCGACCCGGATTTTTCAGCATTTTGACTGATAAATGCCTGGAATGCGGTGGACAGACAGAATCTGGTGTGTATGTTGGAGTAAATACCACCACTAACGAGTGAGTACGGCTAAACGCTTGTCCGCGGATGATCCAAGAGTTGCGGCCCGCGACACCTGTACTGATTACTCGCCTCCTACGCAATAACAAACATTCAGATTTGGGGAGATACAGTATTATGGAGCCTACAAATGTATGACGCATGCGGTTGTCCCGGGCATTACACTGGATTAATCACGGAGCTTTGTCAAAACAAGTTTGCTTGCACCCTATGGCAGTAGCAAGGTTGTATAACAATTTCTTCAAAACTTTATAAACATGTTTGGCATTAGACAATTCTTATAACAGCACGCCTT